GCATAGATCTGCTTAATTCTGCACTCTTTTTTGCAGCTGAATCAGCCAATTCATTGCTATGAATATTTATATGAGCAGGAACTCAGTGCAGATGAATAATCAGCTTTGATGTTCTTCTCTTTTGAATTTTCAAAACAGAGTTTAAGATCAGTTCAAGATTCATTTGATCATTATGAATCTGACTATTTCTAAGTCTTTTTAAAGCAGCTTGACTATCAGAGAATATTCATGCCTCTTTCAAACAATTTCCTCTTCTATGAGATTTTATTTCAATGAGTTTGAAAGCTTTCACTATTACAAATAGTTCAGCATCAAAGACTTCACATTCAGAGCCTATATTTCAGAAATCTGAGATAAAATTGATATTATCTTCAGTATAAGCAATGTCTGCATCTAATCTATTCAAGTTCTCATTTTTTGAGTCATCTGAATAAATCAGAATAGAGTCTTTTATATTGATTGTAGAAATTCTCTTTGAATGCTGTTCACATTCTTTCTCTTTTGATAGTTCACTTATTTGTATATCTATAAGAGATTCAAGCTTTTCTCTTCAGAGAGATAACTTCTCATGATCAACTTTTTTAACATTTAAAGAAGAAAATTGATTTTTAATCAGAGAGCATAGTCTGTACAGTTGAGAAGACATTTTCTTTGAAGAATTATTTTCATTCCAATCAAGAAATCTATTCCAATTCAGTTCATTTTCAGAGTTAATTGATGGAAATGAAGAAGAGACTCTTTCTCTGATTATATGATTTGAGCTCATCTTTATAACTCTCAGAGCATAGTTCATACAGGTCTTTTCAAATCTAATAGCAGAAGAAGGAATTGAAGCTTCAAAATCCATTGCTTTAATAGAAGATGATTTGAATGCTTCCAGAATTCTTCTCAAGGCTCTGTTTTGCAGACTTTGAAAGAGTTCAGTGAAATTCCCTTGATTATTCCATCAAACTTGAACTTCATAATCAGCTACTGATGTAATACAGGCTATATATAACTGTCTCATAGCCTGGAAGGATAGACCTCTCTCTGTATTTGATAGTCTGATTATGTTATTCAATAGTCTTTCTGCCTTGACAGTTCTTTGTTGAATGTGATATTTAAAATTCAACTTGGAGTTTAATCATACTCCTAATCATTTGACATTTACACTGGGTTTAATCTCTCTATTTAAAAGAGTTAGAGATAGTTCTTTCTCATTGAATCTAGAAAAGAAATGAATTAACTCAGTTTTATTCATATTAAATTGAATTTGATTGATATCTGCTTTAACAAAGATTTCCTTTGCAGCTTCTTCAATTACTTTCAAATTCTCTTTGATAGTTTTTAAGCTGTAGACTAGATCAATATCATTCACATAACTCAGAGATCACACTATTCTCATATTTCTATTTTTAAATAGATATGCAGTGTATATTGCAAATAAAATGGGCGAGATTGAAGATCCCTGTGATACTTCTATTTTTATCTCAGTCTTGTCTTGTTTCATTCCATCAAAGAAGAGTTGTATACTTCTTTTAGATATAAAACAGTTAACTCATTTTATTAGAGAAAGTAGCAGTTTTAATATCTTCAATGTCTGAATTAACTTTGACTTTGAAACATGATCAAATGCTTCTTTTATATCAATAAGAACTGCAGTTAAGACCAGACCCTCATGCTTTGCTATTTGAATATCATGAATAACTGAGAGAACAGTGTCAATTGCAGAACACTGTTTTCTACCTCTCATTTGTTCACTGAATAAAAGAGAATCACCTATAGAGCTTATAAAAGATAGTTGAGTAGCTATTATCTTTTCTAAAACCTTTCCTAGGCAGTTCAATAGAGATATTACTCTATATGACTTAGAAATTGAAGTTTTTCTATTAGGTTTTGCAAGAATCACTTCAGTGGCTTCTCTCCAGCATTCAGAATGATATCCATTTTTCAAGAGATTGAAAAAGAGCTCAAAATATTCATTCTTTAAGTAGGAATATGTATTCTGAATAATCAAGTGATTAATTGAATCAGGACCTGCAGCAGTTTTAACAGAACTTGAGAAGATAGCTGACTCTAATTCATCTTGTGTAAGATCAGGCCATTCCCAGTCATTTTCATCAATGTAGTTAAGAAGTGATATATTCTCTTCCTCTGAATCTGAATCTGAATCTGAATCTGAATCTGGTGAGTTCTGAAAGAGAATTCTCATGAAAGCTTGACATTTTTCCTTAAAAGAGTTTGCTGTATATGATTCATTCTGAAACTCATATTCTAAGGCTGGAAGTTTTGCTACACTTCTTGTTTTAGTATAGTTAAAAGCTTTAAAAACTTCCTTCCCTTGTGCTTCTTCAAGAAATTTATTCCAGCAGTCTGTTTTAGCTCTTTTAAATCATATGCCTGTTATTGATATATCTATTTCATAACATCAGTATGTATTTAATCACTAGCAATTTCTTTTCATACACTGGGTAATTGAGCTCAGTGCTTGATAGTTTTGTATCATTATATATCACTAGATGCAGCTTGTCATTCTTACTCATCTGTAGAAGAGTGTCTCTGATAGCTCATTCAAATGTGTTCATCTCAATATAGAAAGGTTTATCACAATCTGATTGAATAAGCACTGAGAATGTTATTACACATTCTCTCAGTGTGAGAAAAGCCTCTTCACATACAGCATTTCAGATGATTGAACAAAACTTCTTCTTTCACAGATTTGCATCTATTTCTCTTAAGAGATCTGAGAGTGATGCAGATATTTGTGTGAAATCCTTGATAAATCTGCAGTAATATGAGACTAACTCAAGAAACTGTTGTACATGATGTACATTTCTCAGCTGCAGTCAATTCACTATGACATTCAATTTCTCTGAGATGAGATGTATACAGTCATCACTCACTATATATTCTATAAACTTCAACTCTTCTGTTTCAAACACACACTTGATTGATTTAATATAGAGCTTATACTCTGTCAGAGTTATAAGTACTTTATCAAGATACTTCAGATGTTTATTGTATAAGTTTGAAAAGACTAGAATATCATTGAGATATACAAGACATGAGATTTCATTCTGTTTATGAAGAATTGTATTCATCATTATTTAGAAGATAATGAGTATATTTATCAGACTGAATAACATTGTCAGGAATTTGAACTTCTCTTATTATATATTAAACACAGTTCACAGAACTGACAGTTTGTCTATACAGATCTGTCAGTATTCTGAGAGAAGATTAATCTTTGATAGATATCAGGTATTTTCAACTGTATTCAACTATTGTTGAATTTATGATAGTGAATATTCATTCTTGATCATAAGCTTGTTAAGTGCTTGATAATTGATACACATTCATCACTCTTTATCTGTCTTTTTCATGAATAGAACTGAAAAGTCTCATGCACTTGATGAGAGTTGTATGAGATCATATTCTAGAAGGTCTGTGATCTGATGCTTCTGTTCTTTGAGATGTATTTGTGACAGAGAGTATGTATTCTGATTGACTGATTTTATATTCTCTGTGTTAATCTCATGTATGAATTCTTGTTTCAGTGACAATTCTGATGAAAGATCTGTTCAGAAGATCTTCTCATACTTCTTCAGAAGCTTCTTCATATGCTTATTCTTCTGTATATCTTTTATCTTAGTTTCCTCTGCTTTCAGGTCTCATATGACATACAGAATGCTTTTAGATGAGGTCTTATAAATCATTCTCTTTACTTATTAATATATAAGCAGATTTAACTCTTCTATATCAGAGATGTGAAATGTCCTTCTCATATCAATTGATAGAATTGTATGAACCATTTTCTTTCTATCAGTCAACTGTATATGATATATATGTCATTGAATCTGTGAATTGAATCTTTGAAATCAATTGAGTCTGAGTATAAGATTGTATTTCATGTTCTGCAGCTCTCACACTCAAATATAGCAAGATTATTCTCTGAAGTGCAAGAAAACTCTTACTTTTACAGATAATATCAAATATCAGTTATCAGATAATCTTATGTATCAGAAATTCTTTACTTAATGAATCTCTTTCAATCTTCAGATTATATAATTATTAATATATTATATAGAAGCTTCTGTGTCTGCTAACACTTTTACAGCTATCTCTTAATTCTTATTCAAGTGTCTCTTATACATTAACATTTCAGGCCTCAAGATATTGAGATGAGCATTCACTTTATTCTCACTCACACCTCAGTCAGAAGCCTGCTTTCTCTTGATATTCACAGAATTCAGAGAATTATCTAATACAGGCATCTCTTTCACTTTGAAGACTTTTCATAGAATATCAGTGAGTATCTCTGAGCTCACTGATTCTGCTAGTTTTTTAACTCTCTTGCTTCTCTTAACTGTGCATACTGAATTAGACTGATCGTGTGACCGTGTCTGAGACCAGGACCAGATTTTTTGATAGTTTCATTACCAATTCGACTGATTCCATTACATGGTTTTAACATTAGATAGTAGTCTCATACTGTCTCAGTGAGACTTACTGTCTACTCTTATCACATTTTTCAAATGAGATCATGATTTCCACTTCTCAATTTAAATTATTTTTATTGCTTTAAATGACTTTAAATCTCATTTGAGCATTACCAAAAAGTGTTACTTTTTAAAAAATTAAAAATAGTCTAAAAAAAACCCTTAAAATGTCTAAAAATAGTAACTTTATGCCAAGAATGGGACTAAATGGGACCAAATAGAACCACTTTCTCATTTTTTTCAAGTCATGGTTCCATTTTAAGATCTGATATATAGTCACTTTACCTGTTTTTTGTGAAAGGTGTAAAGCTTGTGTGATTGAAAGGTTGCTAGCTTGTGGAAAGTTATATGGTGGAAGGATTAGTAAGCCAGATCATGTGACCTGACACCCCCACTCACCAGAGTAACTATACACGATGCTATATACAAAATTCGCCTTCAAATCAAGTACAGGTACAAAAAATGACTGGAAAATGTGTAGCAATGAAAAACCAGTCATGATATACATCATTTTTTATCCCTCTATCCCTCTATCTTCTTTATATTCTCTTTCCAATGTGTATATTTCAAACGGTTGACCTCTTTAACACGGGCCTTGTAATAATACTTCCATTCCATGGAAGCTTTGGCGCGCGTGAGGTTTTTCGGGATCGGAAGTGCAGCGATCTCGGGATCGGTGGGTAGGTCTTCAAGACTGTCCCCCACTGAAGATTCCCCCACTGTTGATTCCCTCACTATAGTGATATCCCTTGTAGATGTCGGAGGATCATCAGATTCAACTGTGGGTTCCGGGGAGTTCAGTGTATTCTGCACTAAAAGGGTAGGTATTCTCGCGGAGATATCATAGTCAATCCACCAATTATTAGTGGGTATGAGAAATAATGGACACTCAGGTCGAATTTCCTCATCAATGAATAGATTATCAATTGATGGATCAGGAATTGCTGCAGTCTCTTGACGGGCCGCAGTGGGTAGGCCTGGTGTCGCCGAAGGAATCGCCGCAGCCGCTTTACGGGCCGCGTTGGGTAGGACCTTCGGGTTGTGTGGAGTAGTCGGTATCGATGGATCGGCAAGACGGAGGTCCTCCTGGAAGATGACGTCTTTTGATATGTATAAACGCCCGTTGGAGGGATCCTTGTGGGGTTCCATGAAACAGGCTGGCACATTGATAACCTCTGCGAGGTTTGTCATCTGATAGGTGTCTGATCCATCTGTAATGGATAGTTGGGTTCCACCCTCACTATTGTTCTTTTCCTTCTTTTCTTTGAATTCCTTTATCCTCGCAGCGTTGTAGATCCTCCAATTATCTGGAGCACTGTCTGGATTGGCCAACCAACAGTTGCCAAAGTGAGATCTCTCGCATTCAGGACATGTAGGTGGATTTCCCGATCCCCGATGGTTTCGGGAGCCCCCTTGTGTACTACCATGACCACGTCCAGTACGGCCTCCACGGGCCGCATTCGATGTATTGTTGCTGGTAGTCGGTGTGGCTGTTGTAGCTGTTGTAGCTGTTGTAGCTGTTGTAGCTGTTGTAGCTGAGTTGGCCGCAGAATCTATATTCTGCAGGTTCTTTTTATCTTTTGGAGGATCAAGCTGTGAACAGATTTCCTCCATGAGAAGATCAACATCCAATATCACAGCTGTGGATTTGGAATCCTGTATCTCCTCTATCTTCTTCTGAACGTAATTCCTCCAATTGTTGGGTAGAACTGAGTAGAAGGTATCAAATATCCACGCCTCTGGGGGGGAAGCATTCAACATCTCCAATTTTGTGATGGTGGACCGGAACTTATCAAAGAATGTGTGTAGATTGGTGACCTGTGTGCCATCAAGAGACATGAATTCCAGAACTGCCTCACGGTGTAACTGTGTTTTGGGGACAGAGTATTCCTGTTCAATTGCATTCCATAGAGTATAAGCGATCTGATTTTCATCATACTTGGAGAAATGTGGTCTGACACCTGCACCCAAGGAGTTTGAGATGAATGTGTAGAGCCACCGGTTTCTGGTGTCCCAGAATGGTGCCCATTCATCATCTCTTTGTAGAGGGTTCTGGGTCTGTTGTTTCTCTATCATATACCAGCACTGTGCATCAACCAGTTTCGATTTCATGAAGATGCTTCATGTGGTGTAATTGGATGTGTCAGTCAGACTGTTTGGTCTCACAGTATTCTTGACATCTTCCTTGAATTGGGAGATTGCCTTGCCAACACAGCTATCCGGTTCATAAAGGTTGAATTCCAACCTTTCACCGAGATTAGGATTCCATGTGGCTGTTGATGTGGTGGCAGGATGATTGTTGACATCCTGAGGTCGATCTGTAGAGGATCTCTGTTGATGGAGTTTTTCCAGTTGTAGTTCGAGTTCTAAGACTCTTTGCTTCCCCTTGTCCATCTCAAGCATCATCTTGAGATGCTCCATCTGTTGGTCTGATATTGCCTCGCCCGAATGGTAGACACCTGGGTGTCCATTATTCTCATCAAGAGAACCAGCATCAAGCTGTTGAGTAGATCGGGGGGCCGGCCTGACCGTGTCAGGAGCTGTATTCAAACCAGCTTCGAATCGAGAGGGTGTTGCGGGGTGTTCTTCAATGGAGCTTTCAAAGGCTCCAGGAGGATGTCCACTGGCAGAGCGTGAGTGTGAAGAATCATCATCATCATCAACTGCAACTGATCCAGTGGAAAGGACGCGAGATCGCGAACGTGTATGTGGGCGAGATCGTATTGAATCCGCCATCTTGATATTCGTTTATTGGATCCTTGCCAATATCGTTCTCTTTTTCTTGCTTTTTTGCAAATGTGGTGTGTTTTCTGCAAGCCTCTTTTTTAAGCGAGCAGTAGTATTATTGATCATCAAGATCTCAAATGCATCAATACTGATAGAATAAGATGATTTTAACTCCTGATGGGCGTATCGAATGAAGCAGTAGTTCAAATAGATTATATTGACAAGGAATCCCGAATTGGCAGCGATTTTTTTGCGCAAAACGGGTCTCATAACCTGTGAAAGGTGTAAAGCTTGTGTGATTGAAAGGTTGCTAGCTTGTGAAAAGTTATATGGTGGAAGGATTAGTAAGCCAGATCACGTGACCTGACATTTTTTTGATAGCCAGTCCCAGCGGGATTCACGCCAAGAAATGTATGGGACCAGACCAAATGGGACCAAATGTGAAATTCATGGTCCCGGCGGCCAGTCTATGCTGAATACAATCTTTTATATCATAATTTTGATATCTACAGTTGAAGCAAACTTGATACTCACAATATCAAGATTTTCACTTAGAGAATTTCTTTTTTAGAGAATTCAGTGCTTTAGTGATAACATTCAGATCTAGATTCATTACATTCAGATATATAACTTGTGTTATAGAAGTCTGATTACTTATTCTTCACTGAGATATACTTAATTACAGTATTTTCTGTTATAATTAACTCACTTGTTTCTGTATAATAAGAATATTGTATGCTTTCTTCACTGTGTCTAACTATAAGATTAAGCATTTTCATTCTACTCTTAACTCAGATATAAGATTATAAATGAAGATCTATAAATAGAAAGATATTAAAAGCTCTTCATTTAATACAAGATAATGTAAGCTGAAGTGTGTAAAGTATGATATAAGATTACTCACTTATCTACACTCAGTGAAGTGTTTGTAACACTTATCTTATATATTCACTTTCTCAAAGTTATACAAGATTCATTTGAAAAACTTATTTCATATTTATGAGAATGAATATCTCTTCAGATCTGTAAGATTTATCTTTTCATCAGTCATTTATAATGACTTTACTTTTTCACATAGAAACATAGCAGATCTTAAGACTTATTAAAATTCTGTTAACTGTCTGTCTGTGAGTTCATATTTAATCTGATAATATAATTACATCTGACTTAGTCAGGTGATTGCAGCATTATTTTTTCAGTTGTTATTAAAGCTTAATAACTCTGACAGATCTTCTAACTTGATGTATTTCATGCTCAGATTCTCATTCTACACAGCAGTCTCTGATAATATGTATACTTCTGAAGAGATTGTGAATAATTATAGTGAGATCTTCAGATTCAGTGTAGTTATCTATCTGTGTAAATATTCAATCTTCTACTACAGATCTAAGATCTGATTTTCTCTATTCTTATTAATAATGATGATTGCATCAGTGAAGCTCTTTATAGTAAATACTTAATCTGCAGTGAATGTCAATTGTTGTTTGACTTTCATCTCAGTCTGTCACTATGTACACAAGATCTCAATCTTATTTAGAATTCTTGTACATGTACAGAGCTTTGATTTCAGTTTGATAATCTCAGTTACTTTTCTTACTACTTTGAGTAAACTCTCTGAGAGGTTCTGTATATCTTTCAGTTCAGGTAGCAGAAAAGAGTGTTGTTTGTATCAGTTAGAGAAGGTATTCATTTCAGTGATTTTCTTGTTAATTCTATGATGTCTATTGTTATATCACTATATCACTGTATCACTATATTGTTATATGATTTCTGTTATCATTGTACAACTCCGGTGATGGCCACCTCTCTTCTTTTTATTTCTTTAGGTGAAGAGCAGTCTTCTTTGAATCTGGTTCACTGCTCTCATTCTTTTTCTCACATCTCATTCATTCACATATGTAGCATTCACCTGAGTGTGGAGTTTTCCCTCAATAAGTGAAATAATATCAATTGAATGCTCTTCTGCTCACTGCTCTTTATACACTATCTTTTGAGACATTCTAGAATCACACTGACATGATAACTATAAATCACTTTATAGACAGAATTATCACACTCTGAAGAAGTCTGTACTTCTTATCAGTTTTTAGACATGCTATCAGATGTGATTCAAAGGTTGCTTAAGTCAGTGTACAATTACAGGCATACACCGGCTTCTTATATATGGTAATATTATATGCTAAATTAATTAGCAGCCGCTATGGCCCCTTTACACTTGTACGTGTACGCTAGTAGTTCGGAAGCGGCCGCGTTATTATTCAACAGTTGTACATTCTTTCGAACCACAAGTTAATATACTATATAAGATTATCAAGAGTTCAGAAGTTGTCAGAAGTTATTAGAAGTTATTAGAAGTTATCAGAAGTTATCAGAAGTTGTTAAAAATTACTGAAAAATATACTCAGTACTTTGATTAGAGTCTCTGATAACTGAATAGATATTTTAATAACATGATCAAGATATTGAATAACTAGATATAATTATGATTGAAAAATTAGTAAATTATTCTTATATTTAAAATCATAGTAGCAGTTTTCACTGTAATACTTTATACTTAGAATATATATATTTTCAGATAAAAATTACATTAATTAATAGAAAATTGAAAAATTAACTCTTTAAGATGATAGAGAAATAATTTATAAGTGATATTATACAGTAATTCTATCTTAAATATTATAATTAAAGTAAATTATTTCTGTGTTACTAATAAATAGAAACTATTTTTTCTTAGATACTCTGTGAAGAGTAGACTGATTATTTGACTTTGTCTGAGAGACTGAGACTAGAATCAGAATATTTAATAATCTTATTATTAATTTAACTGATCTCATTACATGATTTTAACATTAAATAGTAGTCTTATACTATCTTAGTAAATCTTACTATCTACTCTTATCATATTTTTTAAATAAGATCATGATTTTCACTTCTCAATTTAAATTATTTTTATTGCTTTCAATAACTTTAAATCTTATTTAAGTATTATTAAAAAGTATTACTTTTTAAAAAATTAAAAATAGTCTAAAAAAAACCTTAAAATATCTAAAAATAGTAACTTTATATCAAGAATAACTTATGACATTAAATAAGATTAAATGAGATCACTTTCTTATTTTTTCTAAGTCATGATTTTATTTTAAGATCTGATATATAGTTACTTTGTATGTTTTTTTAATAATTAGTCTCAGCAGAATTCATGCTAAGAAATGTGTGAAATCGGATTAAATGAAATTAAATGTGAAATTCATAATTCTAATGATCAGTCTAATGAAGAGTTTGCTGAGAATATTTTATTTAGATTTAGTGTAAGCTCCGTAACAGTTGATTGACTCAGATATTCGCAGAACTTGGCAGAAAGTAGCAGTAGTTCGGATTGAGTTATATCGGAGTGAAGTGGCTGAGTTTACTGAGATAAAGTGAGGTTAAGTTTTCTACTTTCTGAGTTTTCTACTTCCTGAGTTTTCTGTCATACACTATGAACATCATCAACATTGTATTAACTTACTACTATTTCTCTTATTATCAGCTTACTACAATACTTGTCTAATACTCATTAATACTAGCTCTCTTAGCTCGCATATTTGTTTTACTATAAATACCTCTATCTTTTGTATGGAATTAGATATAATAGATAGTGTATGAATAATATAAGAAGCAGATCTTAATACACATAATATTCATATGTTTTCAACTGTCAGAAAAAAGAGGTTATACACTACTGAACGTCATTAACATTATATTACTACAATATTTCTCATTATTATCAGCTTACTACAATGCTTGTCTAATACTCGCCTATGCTAGCTCTCTTGACTCGTATATATATTTTACTATAAATAGCTCTATCTTTTGTATGAAATAGATATATGAAATAGTGTATGAATAATATAACAAGCAGATCTTAATACATATAAGATTCATATATCTTCAATATATTCATTCATGACACTTAATTTAATAGTTATGAGCCCGGTAAGCAGCATCTGAAGAGAAGCATAATTAGACTGACTGTGTGACCGTGTCTGAGACCAGGACTAGATTTTTTGATAGTCTCATTATCAATTTGACTGATCTTATTACACAGTTTTAACATTAGATAGTGATTTCATACTGTTTCAGTGAGACTTACTGTCAACTCTTGTCACATTTTCCAAATAAGATCATGATTTCCACTTCTCAATTTAAATTATTTTTATTTCTTTAAATGACTTTAAATCTTATTTGAGCATTATTAAAAAGCATTACTTTTTAAAAAATTAAAAATAGTCTAACAAAAACCTTAAAATGTCTAAAAATAGTAACTTTATACTAAGAATGAGACTAAATGGGATCAAATGAAACCACTTTCTCATTTTTTTCAAGTCATGATTTCATTTTAAGATCTGAAATATAGTCACTTTACATGTTTTTTTAATAGTCAGTCCTAGCAGAATTCACGCAAAGAAATGTATGAAATCAGATCAAATGAAATCAAATGTGAAATTCATGATTCTGGCGGCCAGTCTAAGCACAATACACTGATCTCAATTCTCATTCAAACTGATAACTATTATTTGAACTGAGATGATTGATTCTTATTTGTATACAGTCTGATCTACTTGACTGTTATACACTGAATTCTGATAAGTAGCATCTGAAGAGAAGTATGATACATTAATCTCAATTCTTATTTGAATTGATAACTATTATTTGAACTGAGATGATTGATCACTGATGTCAATTTTCATTTAAACTGATAACTATTATTTGAACTGAGATGATAGATTCTCACTTATATACATTCTGATATACTTGACTGTTATACACTCTGAATTCTGATCATATTCTCAAATACTTGAATCAATTTCTCAATTCATTCAATATAACTGATATAACAGACAAGACAATGTCTAGTGCAACTGTACATCTTAATGTTTCTGAAGATTGAAAAGTTTAATACAAGTATATGCTAGAAGTACAATATGCAAAGAACAAGAAGATATCAGACTTTATTAATCTTGATAAATCTGATATCTTCTCTGAACTAGAAGAATCTCTGAAACCTGAGTATTCAGAAGAATTCATCACAGAGGCTAAGATAGCATATAATATCAAGATCACTTTGTGAAAAATCAAATATATAAAATATGAGAAATTGAATGAAGATATGATAAAGATATAAGATATTATATAATGAACAGTGAATGTCACAGAGCGATAATATATATACAGTGAGAATGATAATATGAAGAAGATTATTCATTTATTAAGAGATCATCTCTTATTCATGACTGCAGACTATCAAGATAATGTGAGAATCTGATATTATAATCTCTGCAAAGCACTGAAAAACAGAGATATAGAGAAGTGATTAAATAACTGATCACTTATTAAAGATAATATCAAAGAGATAAATAGCACTGAATAGTTTATGTTGAAGAAAGACTTCTTAAATATAAATCTAGCTATTAATACAGATTATATACAAGCATAAGCTAAGAATGTCTGATATAATAAAGAAAGATGTCATATTATTAATAGAGTTAGTTAAGAACTTCAAAAAATGATATAGAGAAATGAGTATTCTTAAAGAAGATAAACCTATAAACTTTGCTACTCTTAATGAAAGATCTCAGTAATTCTCATTACTAGTAACATTCAGAAACTGCATCTGCAGAGCCTGTCACTAATACACTCACTACTACTATCTCAATTCATCAAGAAAGTCATCTGAATGCCTCAGTGACTGAATGATTAATGCGGCCACTCAGTAGCGCCTTGGCGTGGGAAATCAAGGCATGTGGGTTCGAAACCTGCAGGGAATATATTAAATTCAGCACTCAAGCATCTCAGATTTCTAATAAATAACAGAAGTGTATAAATCACTTCAATAAATCACTCTATATTTCTGAGCTGAGAAGTTATTATTAGACTGACCGCCGGGACCATGAATTTCATATTTGATTTTATTTAGTCTGGTCTCATACATTTCTTGACATGAATCTCACTGGGACTAGTTATCAAAAAAACATGTAAAGTGACTATATATCAGATCTTAAAATGAAATCATGACTTGAAAAAAATAAGAAAGTGGTTTCATTTGATCTTATTTAGTCTCATTCTTGATATAAAGTTACTATTTTTAGACATTTTAAGGTTTTTTTTAGACTATTTTTAATTTTTTAAAAAGTAACACTTTTTGATAATGCTCAAATGAGATTTAAAGTCATTTAAAGCAATAAAAATAATTTAAATTGAGAAGTGAAAATCATGATCTCATTTGAAAAATGTGATAAGAGTAGACAGTAAGTCTTACTGAGACAGTATGAAACTACTATCTAATGTTAAAACTGTGTAATGAGATCAGTTGAATTGATAATGAGACTATTAACAAATCTGGTCCTGATCTCAGACACGGTCACACAGTCAGTCTAGTTATTATCATATGTATCTAATTGTCACTTCTTTGTATTTTTCTATGTTCTTATTATCTTGACATGATCTTAACACCTGTAGTTTCTTCTGTATAATTAACACTTAATCTGTATTTAACATCACACAAGAACTCATCATAAGCTTCGCTTGTATATAAGTATAATGAAAGAATAATACTAATAATAATAATAATAATAAGTCATCTGAATGAACGGAAAACAGGAAGAAGAGAACTCAGATTAATCAAGCTCTTAAGAATCAAGAATTAAAGAGACGTGTTGATCATGCAATATTTAGAGATTTATTCATAAATATAAATATAATAGATAAAGCAGTTCTAGAAGAAATGATTCTGAAGTAATCAGATTCTCAATCTATTATTTCTTAATCTATTGATTATCAATCTATTAATCAGCAGATTTAAAAAATATCAATGAACTCTTTAAATTTACACTTCTACCTCTGAAACTCCTGAATCTTTGATACAGGCACAGAATAGTATATATACAATAATTGAACACATTTTCTATTCTTTACTTCTGTGAACACAGAAGTTTATACAGGTGATTTCAGCACTAAAGTTGAAGATTATGAAACTGTTAAAACAATCATGATAAATGAAGCAGAAAAGCAGTTCAATATCAATCTCATCAACATGGCTTATATTCTAAATTTTCATACAAATATCATTACATGAAAACTGTGTTTTTATATAGCAGGCATCTATTATGATGAAAAAGACTTCAGATTGTGAAAACATGCAGATAATACAATCTTTGCATATGTTAAAGTATTTGAGAGATTGCTAGTTACAGAATTTAATAGTGAAACAGCTGTTTATTCAACTATATTGGAAAAATTCACTACTGAAGCTGATACAGCTATCACATCTCACACTTCTAATATTACTATATCTGAAAAAATGATATCTTCAAATTCTTCAACTTCTACAAAACCTTCTTTCAACCTGTTAATACACACTTCTATAAAATCTTCTCAAAAGCCTAAGATCTCTGTAGCTACACAGTCTACATGGCATAAGAGATTAGAACATTCTTCAAAAATCGCCATTCAAAAGCTTGCAAATGATGCAACTGGCATTCAAATCACTCATCTAGAAGCCACTGTGGACAAGCTTACCACCGAGCTTTGCAAACCCTGTCATCTATCTAATGCGGAAAATCAAATATCTAGACATCTCCACATTAGATCTCATACATCGAATCCAGCACCTGAACCTATACCAGAGCCAGCAGGCTCTAATGTTGATACAGGTTCTAATGTTGACATTAATCCTCATTCAGCTGCGATAGATAATTGTACACAGAACAGCAATGTTGATATTAATACTCATCCAGCTGCGATAGATAATTGTACACGGAACAGCAATGTTGATATTAATACACATCCAGCTGTGATAGATAATCATACACGAGTCTGAAATCACAGAGCTGCCCATCTTATGACAGTTGCAAATGTCAAAGTCAATCCTTTTCAAATGATCAATGATGCATTCTCTTATTCTCATTCACACACAGACTTCTACAAGTCTCAAAATTTATTTCCTAATACTGTTTTTACTGTTATCAACAATACATCTACCTCAACAGCATTCATACCAACTTCAAGATTCATAGATCTCAACTGCCAGATTCATTGAATCACTGAACAGATGTTGAAAAACACCCACATCACGAAGAATCTGAGAACACTAGGCTTGATCTCTATGCCGGAGGATTGCTGCCTCTTCTCAAATGATTGATTAATTGTCTTCTTCTATGTGAATGATATTGTCATCCTATCCCGATGAGAGGATTCAGATGAGAGATATCAATCTGAGAATGTGTTCAATTCAGTGATATTACAGTTGATTGGGTGTCTACAGCTCAGATGACAGTGGATGGCTTCACTAAGGCTCTGCCATGCCAGAAACATGTGGAATTCATCAAGATGCTAGGCCTAGTTGATATATCAGATATCATCAAGGCGTAAAGCAGAATAATGGTATAAATGATCTGTCTTGATGTAATCTCTAAAGATTCATCTACACTTCTTTTTGATTATAGTCTATCTTGATGTAATCTCTACAGATTCATCTACACTCTTTTTTGATTATTTCCATGCAGCTTCAATTACACTTTCTTTTACATGTTACATTCGCTGAAGGGGGTGTGTCAGGAAAAAGAGGTTATACACTACTAAACGCCACCAACATCGTATTACTACGGAGTACAATATTTCTCATCATTATCAGCTTACTACAACACTCATCTAATACTCACTTATGCTAGCTCTCTTGGCTTGCACATATATTTTACTATAAATAGCTCTATCTTTTGTATGAAATAGATAGGATAGTGCACGGATAATATAACAAGCAGATCTTGATACACATAAGATTCATATGTCTCCAACATATTCATCCGTGACACCCAATCCGACACCGACATATTCATCCGAGATACTCATTCCGACACGTGCAGAGCGGTGAGAGGATTGGTTAGTTGTCGTTTTCGGAGACTAATTTGGCGGCACGGGCGGAAAAGAAGCTTTTATGAGTGATGCTCTGATTGCACAAGAGCACGTCCCCCTTTCCTTGCTCTTGCCTCATCCTTCCTGTCCTCAAGTCCAGAATGGACTTCTACTTCTTTTTCTCCCTATCGCGACTACCTTCCTTTCCTCGGATGATACATATAATCGTTCGCATTTTCTCTTTCTTTCTTTTTTCTTTTGGATATGACTGTGCTTTCCATTTTTGTTGATTAGTATTTGATATGCCAAATTTTCGTTTGCGAGGGGCAATATGTTCATAAAGTGAAACTTTCTTGATTCTGCTCTTTCTTTCATCTCAAATATCACATGGGGCAATGCAGCTTCTGTTTCCGTACATGCTCTCCGTGCAGCTGCCCTTTGCCAACGCGCGGGTAGATTGCGATAAGATTGCGCAGAACATCACCAAAGCGACACGAAATCAACACGTTGCGTAACTTTTCAACTACATAGTTACATAGTATATAGGAAATAGTTGGTGGGGTCGCAAGGATATATATAATTGCGCCAGTAAGTCTACTCACCGAACTTCAATTCCATGGAACACTATTATATATCTATCTCTGCCTGGCCTAAGATCTCTTACCCTAAAACGACGGCAGAAGCGAGCTCGTCGTGCATGGAGAACTAGGTATATACAATTTTGACCCCGATGTCCGACAAATTCGGCAACTAGCCGCCCTCCAGGCCGCCGATGCATGCCCGATAATCCCACCCCAGCAGAGCCCCTGAAGGTCGAATTTACGCCTCCAACCTCAGCAAGCTTTTACTTTCACACAACAAGTGGTGGTGGTACACTTCAACTACCTTTTTATCCGGTTTCGTTCGAAAGCATTGTCCCCAAGCGAGGAATGCGGCACATTCATTCCCAGAAGTCGTTAAACCAAATGAGGTTAAGGCTCCGGTTATATAGAACTGTGTGTGCTCTTCAGAACCATGAGTCCACATGGACGTGAGACCAAAGCAGAATTGAATTTCGTTCGTTGGTGAACTGCAGCAGGGCTTTTACTAACGGGCTTCCATCCATTGGAGGTCGGACGATGGGAAACGACGCCACCGGACGGGAGGAGAGTTAGACTCTTCGGCTGCGATGGGGGTTCCATCGGGCCTATAAAAGTTAGTTAACTTAGTTGACTTAGCAAGGGAAAACGGTCGGCTTATGTCATCAGCCCTAGCCACATCCTCCCAATCGGGCAATTTTGACTCCATCGTGCGAAAAAATTGCTCCAGGAGTCAGGATAGTCGTTGGCCATGCTTTGTCTTCCCAGCGATCATGAATGCTCAATATCTGTCTCATTATCTGTCACAAGTACTGCCCCCAATCTTGATCAATAAAAGGTGTTTATTGAATTAGTCCAAGTGGTAGTTCCCAGGAGCGGCTCCGGTTGTTATGAACAAACCAAGGATCTAGCCAACTTTGACGCTGGCCTGTCAAAATTCCAGATGCATGAACCGCTGCTTGAAAGGCCAAGGCATTAAATTAAATCTCTAGAACCCAGTATCCGATAATATCGTTCAAACTTTGCCGAGTACCCAACCTAGCTGAATTCACTGCCAGGAGGAACTAATAGTTATCAAGGAGCAGGGGCTAGTTGAAAAGCCAGACATGATTTCTTCGTATGGGCAATTGTCGATGTCCAAGAACTTGGGTCGACCGCCAAAATCCTCGACTATTGCCGGACCCCTCTCAATAGAATTTGGCATTTCCCTGGTTTTCGGGTTTGCTACCCACGATAAAAAGGTACCGAAGCCCTGCTTTCATAGAATAGAATTTTGATGCCAGAACCTAACTTTTCTCGCACCCTTCGTTCAAATTACAACAATACATTAAGATGTCAGACAAACAACTCAGCGGCTCAACAGAAGGGGCCTCCTATGAGGACACGAAAGGAGGCACCATTCATCAATCCCATCAAGGTTCCGCCTCCATAGTGCCCATTCTTGCGTATCGCAAGCCGGCGAATCCCATTCCTCTTGGGCTTCTCGGCTTCGCGACGACAACATTCGTTCTGTCGTTACACCAGTGCGGTGCTGGGTATGTGTTCTTAAGATTCTATATTACACTGCTGCTTCAGCTTTGCTGACTATATTTCCAGCCTTCCAGACTCTAATCCCTTGGGACGTGTCGGCCCTGACGCAGCGGTTTTTGGTTTAGCATTCTTCTTCGGTGGCATGTCACAGATCATTGCTGGTATCATGGCATTCACTACCGGTAATACATACGGCACTACAGTCCATATCTCGTACGGGAGTTTTTGGCTTAGCTATACGATGTTTCTGATTCCTTCCCTCGGTATCAAGGATGCATATGCAGGCGACCAGCGCGCTTTTAGCTTTGCGCTGGGGATTTACCTGGTCTTTTGGTGTTTGCTGACCTTAATGTTCCTTGTCGCCTCATTGAGGACGAATTACGCGACCCTCGGTGTCTTTGGCCTGCTTGTGCCTGCCTTCTTTTTCCTCGCGCTTGCAAATTTCCTCCGGACTACCCATATGGACCATGCTATTCGGTTGAACAAGACTGGAGGCGTATTTTCATTTTTGTGCGCCTTTGTCGCCTTCTATGCAGGTGCTGCTGGTTTAATGGCGCCGGAAACAACATTCGTGCACTTGCCGTTGGGCGAAATGGCACGTCCCGACGAAAGTTCTGTCGCATAATACGATATGATCTCGCCTCTTGAAGCTTGTACGAGAACAGAGAAGACGGCCTCCAATTTTGATGATATCGATTTTAGGACAATAGCACCTGCAAATTCTGAACACCAACAAGGCGAGAACGAAAACCTAAGCTCTTCGCCTAATTCCGACAAACTTGCGCCAATGGTCTTGGACTAGATTGTCAATGGTGGGACGCTTTGTTGCTTGGTCGTGTCGTTTGCAGAGTTTCCTCGAGTATCCCTTTTAATGTGCTGGCTTTTAATCACTTCCCATCTGGTTATCCCAACTTTCTTTACAAGGCTAGGATACGGCCGCTTTGAGCTTCCCCGTTTTAATTCTCATTTCTGCAACGTAATAATACGTACCCCTTTACTTTCTGCGCTCCCTCGGCGAACTCCGTTGTTTTGTAATTTATGGTTTAATTTTCAAAGCAGTATTCACAAGACCTAATCTAATACATATGTACATGTACATACATAATACTGAAACCACACCTCCGACTCAACTAATATGTGGTAAAACACCTGCACAATGCAGGCGAGCAGGCTCGTTGTATGCAGTTTTAGTCCCAGTCAAACTCAATGATTAACCGTGCCATGCTTACTCACTCTCTGTAGTGAGTGTGCCACAGTGTATGGAAAACCACACTGTAAAGAAAATATTTTGAATATAGTAATCTTCAAAAATTAATTAATAATTACCATCACATCTATCTATAACATAAAGATTATCTATATACTCATTAGAAGATGTAGAATTCACTGTAAGTTGAGATTCTATAGAATTATCTTATTATGGTTAAGTGACTGTAGATTTTGTACATTTGATTTCAATCAATTGAAGAGTCTTATTAAACATCTTTTTCATCTCATCTGCTCTACAGATTGCAATCTTGCAATTAACATTCTTAATAGTGAGAACTTCATCTACTTGCATCTATCTGTGAAAGAATTTGACAATCTGACATCTATTTGTTTGATAATGATCTGCAAGTTCATTCTCACAGTGTGTGTTCAATTTCATCTAAATCATGCTATTCTTGAAGATCTTGTTCAACTGTCTTGTCAAATCAGGTGTAAGAATATTCTTCATATCTTCTAAGGTCTTGACTGCTGTATTGATTTGATGATATAGTTTTGCAATCATCTCTGAAGAGATTAATTGTGAGAAGACAGTTGACAGTTAATCTGCAGATAACAGAGTAAAGTGATTACATAGATTATCATCATTATCATTATATGTTGAGATCTGAGACATCATCAATGATAAGAGGTCTCAATTAATTAAGAATTATATCATAATTAACTGAATACATTTCATAATCAGTAAAGTCAGCTCTCTCAGTATCAGATTTAAATGCTTACAGTTAGATACTCTTCAGATTAGCAAGAAATTATCTATTATTATACTACTCATATCTGTAGTAAGCAGTCTCATTAACTGCCTTTATATGATAATGCTTATACTCAAACTTCAGCGGTTTAACAACCGCTCCACCACGAACTCGCTCGATTTTTCGAATAAGAACCCGCCGATAGATCCATCGAAAAGCCCTCGATCATACGAGCATTTTGACCCCATCGCCGACCGCATACCCCGTGTGGTGGTGGAGTTATCCAGCCAAACGTGAACCGGACGTTGTTCGAAGCTCCTGTGTGGGATTATCCCCCGTTCTCCCCTACCACACCACAACCCCGGGCCAGAGTGCCATACAAATTGTAAGGTGAAGTGACCTAGCCATATGCACCAATCTTCTCGATTTTGGAAGACCCCCGACCTGTAGTTGTGGAGATATCCGAGGAGCGACCTCCGCGAAAACCCTGTCCATCTTTGATGTTCCAAAACACCAACGCCAAGTCTCACCCTCGTACCGCCCTTCCCAATCTGGCCCATCCCCGGCAGAAAAATACAAAAAGATACCTCGGCGATAATATCAAGCACATAATCAACAGACTCTTCTGAAGTGCAACCTCCACGGTCCGCCGCCAGTGTATCTAGACTTCAACACCAAGTCTCACCCCTGTACTACCCCTCTCAATCTGGCCCATCCCCAGCAGAACGATACAAAAAGATACCTCGGCAACAGTATTCAATACATAATCAGTGGACAACGAGTCAACAGCACACCAACAACTATAAAATCAGTATACCTCAAGGTCTGACTGAGCCTTTGATCCCTGCACAGTGAGATATATTAAATCTAGTTTTAATATCTCAATATTCAATAGATTCTGCAAGGGATTGAGAACAGCAACACTAGGTTCCTATTGAATTTGAGAATTAACTCTATATTGATATAATCATTGACAAAGTCTTCTATTTTGAGATATAAATAACCAGTTCCTCTACATCCCGCTGGCAATATTTATATTATCATATAGAAACAGACTTATATTCTCTATAATATCAAGACTCTGAAGAGGGAAAGTCTTGGTAGAAGGTATACAGTAGTGCATATCTTAGCAGTTTCTATCTCATTCTTCTGCAGCAGTTAATGCAAAAAAAAAAAAGATCTTAGAAATAGTTTTTTACTTCTCTTGAAAAAGTAAGGTGTTTTTCTCTGGGTTTTACACAATATTCTTACAAAGAATTAAAAACAGAGTTGTTTTCTGTCATAATTTCATATTCTTTTAAGTAAGAATTACTATTTCAGTGGCTGAAGAGCTTTCATTAATACTTAATTCTTTTTTACACTCTTTATTAACTGATTTGAGTTGCACACTTGTTGTGTGAGAAGAATTGAATGATTTAGAATAAAATTAAATAGTTTTAATCAATTTCTCTGCAAAAAATTGATTTATTTTTTGTCAGTTTTTCTCTCAAAAACTGTCATATCATCTGATTTATTATCAATTGATATCATACTTTTCCTCACTGTATCCCAAGAAAGAGATTGTAAAGATTTTATTGATTTATCTTAAAAATCAATTTTAGTTTATTAGATTCTCTTTAAAAATCTAACCTAGTTACTGAACTAGTGTGAAAAAAATCAGGTGTTTTATACACAAAAGTCTTTTATTCTTCTTTTGAAACAGTCTGACCAACTTTTCAATTGAAAACAGACTTAGAAATATCTCAATTGAAACAGTCTGATCAACTTTTCATTGAGTGAAAACAATGAGTTCAAAAATACACTCAGTTGATGTGGAAAAAGATGCTTTCTCAAATGCTATTCCTGAGATTGAAATTCTGAAGAGAAGAAAGAAAGAAGAAATAGAGAAACAACAAGTTCTTGAAATACAGGAACTTGAAAAAGCAAGCAAGATTCTTGAAAAGCAGTGTCTGAGTGAGATGAATGAAGAAGTTCTGTTAATTCTTCATGCTCAGGCCAGACAACTACAGAAGGTGATCAAGTTCAAACTTGGAATCTCAAACACAGTTCAAAAAACCTTGAAAATTCCTAGTACAATCACTGACTCTTCATCTTACTCTTCTTCTTCCTTTCTTCCTACTTCTTCTTCTTCTTTGAATTAGAAGAAAACATATGCTCAAGCAGCTGAATCTGCTGTCTCTAAACCTGCTGTCTCAAAACCTGCTCAAAATCCTGAGAAAACTGAGAAGAATACTGCTCATGCCTCTATTCATAGAAAAGTGAAAAAGAAAATGCAAAAAGAGAAAAACTTTCAAATCTCTAGAAATAGAAGACTCATTCTCAAAGTGTCAAACCAGGACATTCTGCAAAGAAATAAGCTAAACTCAAATCTCATTTTCAGAATCAGAAATGAAATTAATCAGCAGTTCTTTTCTCAGTTGATAACTGATATTGAAGTTCAAAAACCAGTTATAGCTTCAATTGAGCTATCATTCTTTAGAAACTCTATTATTCTGACTACAATGCCTGAATTCAGTGCTGAATTCCTTATTCAGAATGAGAATCTCTGAAAGTCAGCAGTAGAATTATTGCTAAACACAACAATTCTATCTGAAAGAGATGAAAAGTGAGACAAATTCATTCTTCATGATATTCCAGTTGAAATTTTTGACTGTGAAGAAGAAATGCTACTTCTCAAAAATGAATTGAAAGAATACAACTCCATTCAACTGAGAAAGAAGCCTGTATGACTAAATTCAATTGAGTTCAGACAAAGCAGAAGAAATGCCTCTGTTCTGTGATTCGGAAGAACGTACGACCGTCGGATAATAACGCGGCTGCTTCCGAACTACTAGCGTACGCGTACGCTTCCGAACTACTAGCGTACACGTACGAATGTCAAGGGGGGCCCTAGCGGCCACTAATTAATTTAGCATACGAGATTCAATATATAAGAAGCCGGCGTACGCCTGTAATTGTACACTGGCTTAAGCAACCTTTGAATCACATCTGGTAGCATGTCTAAAAACCAGTGAGAAGTGCAGGCTCCTCCAGGGCGTGATAATTCTGTCTATGAAGTGATTCATAGTTATCATGCCAGTGTGGTTCTAGAATGTCTCAAAAGATAGTGTATGAAGAGCAGTGAGTGAAAGAGCATTCAATTGATGCTGCTTCACTTGTTGAGGGAAAACTCCACACCCAGACAAATGCCACATATGAGACGCGAATGAATGAGGTGTGAGAAAGAGAATGAGAGCAGTGAACCAGATTCAAAGAAGTTCACTTCCTACTCAAAAGAAGAATAAAAGAGAGAGTGATCATCACCAGAGTTGTACAATGATAACAGAGTGATATAGTGATATAATGATATAGTGATATAATGATACAGTGATATAGTGATATAATGATACAGTGATAATAATAGACATTGTACAATTAACAAGAAATCACTGAAATGAATATCTTCTCTAGCTGATATGAACAACATTCTTCTCTGCTATCTGAACTGAAAGATATGCAGAACCTCTCAGAGAGTTTACTTGAAGCAGTAAGAAAAGCAGCTGAGATCACTGAACTGGAATCAAAGCTCTGTATATGTATGAGAATTCTAAATGAGATCAAGGTCTTGTATACACAGTGACAGACTGAGGTGAAGATTAAACAACAATTGATATTTGCTACAGATCAAGCATTTACTATGAAGAGCTTTGCTGATGCAATCACTATCATCAATAAGAATAGAGAAAACCAGATCTTAGGCCTGCAGCAGGAGATCAAATGTTTACACAGATAGATAACTACACTGAATCTGAAGATCTTATCATGATTGTTCACAATCTCTTCAGAAGCATACACATCATCAGAGACTGCTGCACAGGATGAGAATCTGAGCATGAAATATATCAAGTCAGAAGATCTGTCAGAGCTATCAAGCTTCAATGATAACTGAAAAAATAATGCTGCAATCAGCTGACTAAGTCAGATATGATTATATTATTGAATTGAACATAAACTCACAGACAGACAGTCAACAGAATTTCAACAAGTCTTAAGATCTGTCACATTTCTATGTGAAAAAGTGAAGTCATTATAAATGACTGATGAAAAGATTAACCTTGCAGACTCAGAGCAATATTCATTTCCATGAACATGGAATGAGTTTTTCAAGTGAATCTTGCACAACTTTGAGAAAGTGAATATACAAGACAAGTGTTATGAACACTTCACTGAGTGTAGACAAGTGAGTGATCTTACATCATACTTCACACACTTCAGCTTACACTATCTTGCATTAGATGAAGAGCTTTCAACATCTTTCTGTTTACAGATCTTCATTCATGATCTTA